GCTGCTTCTGCCAGAGCTTGTCCTTTGGAGACTGGGCCACATGGCATTCTAGGATTTTGAGGATCACTCCAATAATTGCCTCAGATTCTGTTCTCTTTGATCGACCGCCCCATGTCATGGTCAAGCCAGTGTGGCATCCAGGGAAATACCCTTGCCAACACCGAGTCGTGGTGTGGTAGGCCAGGAGGCAACCAGTCAAAGGGGGAATCTCTGTGAGGCCCTGGCTTGCAAGTTTCTTGTAGGCCTCACGATGGAAAAAACTCTTGACTCGAGTGAAGCCAGAGGGGACAGTCTCTCTCACAATTTCCTCTTCACTGCTGTCAGCCATGAACTCTCCGGTAACCTCCAGGTTGTCGGCACGATCTTCCTCTAGCATGGCCTCCTCCTGGTCTGCGTGGCCATCAATTTCCGCATCACCCTCAGCCTCTGGCTCCTCCTGCTCATTCTCCTCCGTCCAAATGGTCTGGAGTTCAGCTTGGGAAGGCTTTTGATCCAAGAAACTTGGAACAGCTCCATCTTGGCAAGGAGTGCCTCTGAGCAGAACGAGCCTCTTGGCCTCTCCGTTTGATGCCTTCAGCAAAAGCTCACTGGGATCTGTGGAGAATGCCACCTGCACGGAGAGGAGCTCGTTCTCCATTTTCCTCACATTTGCATCGCTGCGAATGCTCGTGATCTGACATTGCCTCTTCTTAGAGAAAAGGAACTGGCAAGATCCACGGTCCTGGTTCCATCGCTCGAATTTGCTCTGCATGGCAGGAGTCAAGTTCTTGCCAATATGCATTCGTTCATCGATCTTATCCATCCTGGCAGAATGCTCATCAGTCCACTTGCTGATGCTCCTTTCAATGCGCCGTGAGAGCCAGCGTGGTAGGGCCTGTCGCGTCTCCACGTTGCCATCCACCTGCACAGCCCGGTGTAGCTGCTCCTCATCTTGAAGAGGAGAATGTCTCATAATATCCAACTCTTCAAGCTCATTTGGATCAGCTGCCAGGTTTGGAAGTTCCGATAGCTGCAGAATGGACTGCATGGAGTTCTTGGCTCTGTTCATGCACTCCCTCACCTTGTCTTCATTTCCTGTCCCAGACAAAATAAAAGGACCCAGGGAATGTGTATTTATATATATATACACACTCATACACTTAGAATGCCGGGAAAGGCAGGTTAAGAAAGAAGAACAGCTATACATATACACAAAAGCTGGAGGTAAAGGTAGGATAGAGGGGCACACTTTAGGTGAACCAATCATACATCCAGCATACGTGTGCATACAACAATGACAAAAAGTCCTTTGACTCTTTTGACCACTTCTCCTCCAAATCGCCACTGCGCAATGTCCTGCACATTCACGAAGCCCCGCTGCATCCAAGCCAGCCACACCAGCTTGTGTCATTCCTTGGAAAACCACACACAAACCTTTCCTGGCGGTCCGTGAGCCAGCAAACGCTTGCTCAACTCCTCCATAGCTTTGTTTGTGACCCGCGAATTCAACTGAAATTGAGCTGATTGCAAGATGCGATCCGATCTGACTTGGAACTGAACTGAGCATTTGCTGAAACATGCACACAAAAGTTCTGACATGTTCAAAGGTTGTTGTTCTCCATGCACCTGAAAGAGAATGGATGGCGCACAGGCATTCTATGTGTCCAAACTGGGTGAATCAGGTTACTTTGAGGAAAACTTATACAGAGTTATACAAGTTTCAAATGTTGTTTTCATTCTCCATGCACTTCGAGGCCGGCCGCGCAAGCATTCTATGTGTCCAAACCATGTGAAATCAGGTTACTCTGAGGCACAACTTTATATTTTTTGTAGCCAACAGGGGCTGCATTCTAAGTGTCAAGGTGACAATTGGGACACATTCCAACTGGTCTCACTAGGCAAACTTAGAATGCATGTATTTGCCATGTCCGTGAATACATGTATTTGCCATGTCCGTCCTGGTGTTTTTTTTTCCATTGTAGAATCCCAAAACGGCATTCTAAGTTCCAGTCCGACGCTATAGTAACAAGAAGCCATTATTAAAATTTAAATCTAAATTATGATGGTCTGCCTTTCAATCGGTCTGACCATGAGACCATGAGTCACGTCGCGGTCGCAGGAGAGATCTATGTACATGGCCCGACCGCTGATGTCAACTGAGTGCGGGGACTTTCACCCGAACTTTGATCCTCCAACGTGAGATGACACAAACGATTTTGGTGAAGGAATCCCTACCGTCCTTAGCCTGCAAAAAGCACAAGCACGGTTTTTCTGCTGCAGTTGATTGAATCATCCATTCAGTACTTTTCTCTGTTGGGAGCCATCTCCATAGAGCAACCTTTCAGTGTACAGTACAGGTATTTCAAATGTGCCACCGTTTCCTGCAAGAGGACGAAACAGACGTCACACTTTCCACGCACTTCTGAGATTAGCGCCAGTGACATGTCTAAACGCAGTCCAGGCATGTTTATTAGGCAATCCACCACTTTTGATGCTAGAGAGAGTTTACCCAATGGAATCGCTTCTCCGCTTGCGGACTCTGGTGGCTGGACTTTTGAAGCACGTTCGAATTTCTTTCCTGGCAGAGCTCAGGAAGGAGGGAATGAGCAATCATCCCTCGATGTGCACATGCTATCTCTGGTCAGTTTGAGATGGCACATGAGCTTAAGTGGCTGCTTCCTGACACCATGCTTCCTGCGTAGGGGGTCCCGGTCCAAAGCTTTTTGGTTCCGTGTTTCATTTCATCCCACGATCCCGAGCTCTTGGCACCGGGTCCGAGGGATTCCTCCTTGCCACAACAAATCGAGCTTCGGAAAGGCCCGAGAGATCCAGAGGTCCGTCGTCCATGTTCTGGTCACTGGTCAAATGGTCAAACGGTCCGAGTACGTGTCTTTTTGTTTCAATACCATCACGTTCCACCAAAAGGATTCAACAGGATCTCTCACCTCATTTTATCAAGCCTTCCCTAACTCTGGGAGGGCGAAATATGGACGTCGCCTTTTTGGGCGTTGTGCTCCGAAAAAGGCACTTGGCCGAGAAGAGAATGGCATTCAAGTCGAAGTCAGGACCACAATCAAGGCATAAACCGTAAAGGAGAAAATGGAAGGATGTATATATGTAATCAGAGACCAATGGAGGCCTCGAAGCGGCTCATGACTGGCTTTGTGGATGCGGGGTGGCCCAAACAATTGGTTCAGACGGTGGAGCAAGGCAGGCAGGTGTTGTTGTGCATTGAGCTCAATGCACAAACCAAGCTTTTGGTCATTCAATGAAACACCTGGTCTCCATACTTTTCATTGTATGGAGACGAGTGGAGATTGACTTTGTGACACCCAGAATTGGGCAGAAGCTCCGTGAAGCGATTGAGCCTTGAAGCGGTACGAGCCGCTCTGTGCGAGTCAGCGGGTTCCACGTGCTCCAAGGAAATTAAAATCACCGAGCCAAGAACCGGCAGCAGGGAACCCAGGTGATTTTGGAACTGAGGCGGGTATACATTCTTACCGTAACGGAGCACAGAAAGATCATCAACTGCGCCTTTCATTTAATCTCAACTTGTTTTTGGCCACGTGGATGGATTTTTGCGTTAGCAGTTAGCATGTGAGGTCGAAGCCGGAGCCGCAGCAGCAGGTCACAGCGGGGTTGCGACGCAATGCGGTATCGATACGGGTCGCCACCGGCGAGCCCTTGAAGCCGGCTATGTTGGGAGAAGCACCCTCACATCGGCATGTTTTGGTCGCGTAAGTTGGTTGTAGCGGCGGGCAGATTTCTGCCCTCCCTTGATGTTTCTTGTTCGCTCGGCAGTCTGTGGAATGGGCACATCCGACTGGCAAATTTTGTCTGGCCAAATCGTTAAGCATGGTTGATCAACATTGATCAACCAATGTTGATCAGCAGCCTCCACATCGACAGGAGAGTGTTCCTTTTGTGGGGTGTTTGGACATTGTCAGCATCCCACGGGAAGCCTGGACTGGACTGTGTTGACCGCTTCTGTTGGGTATGGATGGCACGGAAGCTGTGAATCCAACTTGGGCTTTCTTGGATGAATCCCGGCTCCCGAACTTGGAAAGTGAAGAGACCAAAACCTCTTCTTTGGGGGGTCAACGTTGCGAAGCCATTTTACCAACAGAATGTCATCATTCCACTGTGATCGAATAGGGCATTCGAGCACGAGAAACAACACCGAAAACAGTTCATTGAAGGTCAACAATCAGTCTCTCTTGCTCCTTTTCAACTCTGGGCCTTTCCCCTGTTTGCCTAGCATGTTTTATCACGCAGGAGGGACAGTGCAGCATGAGACGTCCGGAGTCCATGACGTCCACGTTCTTTTTCTGCAGAATTCGGATGCACTGATCGACTACCACTGATTGAAACCTGGAAAACGGCACCTGCTCGGTATTTTATGGTCAAGGAGGCCTTCCCATCCACATAGCCACGATGTCAGAGAGTCCTGGCCACTCCCTTTTCCGACTCTTTCCCGCCCAGGCGAGTGGCCAGCCCCGTGCATTCGCCGAAACGTTGAAACTTCGGGGCTTTTCAGCTCACGTTGGGAGACTTCTCCGGTGTTTTTGCGGGAGAAGTGTCCTGGAAAACGAGTGCGCAGCCAGAAAGGATCGTCAGCATGTCGGTGGTTGGTGCAAGGAAGAGAAGACCTTTGGAACTGGTCGAGACGGGGTGAGCCGGAGTTGGCCCAAGATAAGGATTTGGACGTCGCAGCAGTGTGTGTTGGTTTGTATTGTTTCTTTTTTGTATTAGGTTGGAGGCCATTCCTGCTAGGTTGGAGGCCATTGCTATGGTCCTATTAGTAACCCCAAAAAGATCGTTTCTTCCTCCCTCCCCCGGCAAGATGGGTCGTGGTCGAATTTTTCCTTCTTGAAGGTCGTTGCCTGGGGGATCAGGTGGAGATCGCAGGGGAGAATGGCTTCAGGGTTGGTGGTTCAGGTGCACATGCCCTTTCTTTGGCAGCTTCCAGCATTTTCCAACCACTCAACATGAGGTGAAGATCGCAGAGCGCTTGTATCGCCAGACCGTCTTGGCTCACATTAGTTCGTTCAAAGGGCACGCTGTTGGAGCTATGACGGTGAAAATCTGTGTCCTATGGATCCTTGCGCCTTGGCGAGACAGGAGGGGAATTCTGAAAGTTTGTCATTTCCAAAAGCCAATCGCTTTGCCGAAGTCCCGGCCCAACTGATGAATTAGAGAAAAGGGACAGGCAGAAGACACTGAATCATCTACGCACGGCTCATGCATGGCTTCCTGGGATTGGCTATCTAAGGCGTGGGTTCTGGAGGCCAAGGTCCCAGGACAGCTCTGGGCTCATCGGGCTCCTGGCAGCTGCGTGAGCGCCGGTGCTCCAATTCTCAAGCAACATGTCGGAAGAGATCTCAACCTACTCTAACCAACACTTTTTGGACATCTGACTTGAAGACTCTACAGAATCCGTGCTCTGAGCGCAGGAGAAGGGCTTGTTCAGGTTGCTGGGCTCGATGGCATCTTGGCTGGCCACGTAGCTGCTTCGTTGTTACATTTTTTGTTCCTCCCTCCCTCTCCCTCCCTCCTTCCCTCCCTCTCCTTCCCTCTCCCTCCCTCTCCCTCCCTCTCCTTCCCTCTCCCTCCCTCTCCCTCTCCCTCTGGCTCTCGCTCTCGCTCTCGCTCTCGCTCTCGCTCTCCCTCTCGCTCTCGCTCTCGCTCTCGCTCTCGCTCTCGCTCTCGCTCTCGCTCTCTCTCTCTCTCTCTCTCGCTCTCGCTCTCTCTTCAAGGCACTTGCTTTTACTTTTCCAGTGCCACAGTCCGTATACATGCTATGCGTGCAGCACGGCTCTAAAAGGAAAGTTGACCGTTTTGAGCATTTTCGACGGCATACTTGTGCCGACTTTTGATGCACTGGTTTCATGTTGCCCGTGTTAGGAGCCGACAAGGACGGGATTTCAGATTCTGCACGGGTCAAACTGCGGTCCGCGTGCGAAATGGAGTTTTTGTCGAAGTACCGCAGCTAGACAACCCAAAGAACGTGGGGGTGCTTTGTTCCCGCCGTAAAGACTAGTGACTACGGCCGCCTTCATGGTGCAAACACATCAGAAAACAGCATATGTTGATGGCATGATCCATTCACGTATTGATGCCAGGATCATGCAGGTCTTCGGCAGGTGCTCGAGGAGGACCCTAGCCCCTTTCCATGTCAACAGCTGGTCTAACTGAAGGCAAGGAAACTGTTGCAGAACTCTTATGACCAAGACCCCGCCACACATTGCATTAAGTGACACCGGGGGCATTTTGGGGATGTACTTGGGTCCAGCTTGACTGTGGTGGAGCCGCCTTGGGTGAAATGTTTTTAATTCTTGATTGCACAAGCGCACATGCGAGACTTAAGCAAGACTTAAAGCCTTCTGGTTACTCGTTGTGCCCCAGGAAGCTAGCGAAGAGGAGGGCGCCGAAGTGGCAAGTGAAGGTGATGGGACTGGGGAGAGTGGGAGACCATGTTTTGTGAGTCGAATGTGACGTTGGCCGCGACGTCCAGTTTTGTGGCCCCTTTTTGCAGTTCGCCCTCCTCCGCCGCAGGTAGCGTAGAGGAGGGCGCCGAATTGGCCAGCGCAGAAGGCAGTGGAGCTGCTTTTTGCAGCTATGTCGGGATTCGTAACACTGATCATGCCCCCCCTATGAATAACATATAGTTATATATAAATTGAACATTCATCCTAAACTGCCTGCCTACTTTTCATTTTTCAATCCTGGCGGCACCTTGTCCTATGTCGATGTAAAGCAACCTCTATTGAATACTTGAATCATGGAAGGTGAAGGGGCTCTTGAAGAAGGTGCAGAAGAGGGAGAAGAGGACACTGCATGTAAGTTTTCCCCAAACAGTTTGCTGACTAACCTGTCTGGGGTCTATGCTGGCATAATTCAGAGAAGGAAGGCCTTTGATCTATTTGACAAAGTAAATGCGGAGGAAGAGGAAGAAATTCCCACGGAGGCGGATAGCGAGGCACCGCATCGCTACCGTTCAGCTCAAGAAGAGACGTGTCTCTTCTTGAGCGAAGGGATGAAATGGGCTTTGTGGTGACACAGCTCTTCATGACCTCACAACTCTTGACATGGCACACCAACATCATAGTCATGTCATCATGTCATCATGTCATGCGGAGGGTTTTTGCCATGCTTTGCCTGTGTGGAGGGGTCCAGACATGTCCAGACATCGTTTTGGGGCAAAACATGGCGAATCCATTTTGCCTTTTCATCCGCAGGTCGCGTACATGCTTTTGGGCGCGGTGATTTTCGTGGTATCTATGTTCTACCTGGCGAGCTTCCAAGTTCTTCGTGAAGGGGGGACGGGCAACAGCAGTGCCATAGTGCTGCCGTCTTCCGAGGTAAACTGGAACGATGATGATATCCGCTACTACTCCATGAACATCATTAGCAACTCTCTCAGACTCACTTGGCCAGACTCAGCAAGGGTTGGAATCAAGACATGTGGCGCTGGCTCGATGAGGTATGACCATGTCCATCTTCTCAGCCGTGTCGTGCTGAGACATCTCCAAGTCGGTCTGACGGGCAGACTGATTTTGAGACAGCTGAGGTTTTGATGTACCAGGGCATCAATGAACAAATCACTCGCTTCACAGAAGGTCTTGCAGAAATGGAGAGGCCTGAAAGACAGCAAGCAGAGCTATAGAGCTTGGGTTTTGCTATTTGTCTGTGCCCCTGCAGAATTAATTGGGTTTCCTCATATGCCCTTGGAATTTCTTCCTGTCCAGGGTGGTGATTCAATTTGTCCACTGCGCCATCTACATCGTGGCCGGAGGGTGGAGGGAACAGTCGGGCCAAAGCACTTGGGGCGCTAGGGATTCACCACGCGCCCGGCTGCATGTGGGGAACGGGCGACGACCACGGGCGCGCCTGCGCCAGTCCATGCAGATCTTCATCGGGTATTTCTCAGGAGTGACTCCGCAACCTGGCTGCACCATGCCAAAAACCTTAAGGGGTGTGAATGCATAAGGGTTCTGGAGGCCACTAGGGAGCAGTTTTTCCTCAGATAGCTGAAAGCTATAGGGGTTCTTATGTACATGTTCTCACTTCTCAATGACTGGGTAGCTGCTTTGCGTGTTGGTCCACCGCTGCCGCTGCTTCCTTGTCTTCTCACTTCTCTCCTTCAATGTCTCCCCACTTGTCTGCCTCTATCGGTTTGTTTGCCGCTGCCTTGTCTCCACTTGGACCGTGGCAGCGGACCTGAAAAACGATTAGATATACTAACTAACCGATGCCACACATGATTGCTAAGGTAGCGACTGCAACCGGATTGCGTTATCCTATGAAGGGAACAGACCTAGAAGCCATAAAGGGATACTCCTTACAATATGCTTTGCTAACCTTCTGAAGCTTCTCGGACGGGAGGTGTCGCATGTCAGACGGTGTTGGTTTCTCTGTGAGTTGTACATATCACATAAACATGTAAGTCCCAGGTAGCTGAAAGCTATATGGGGTTCTTATTTCTCAATGGCCGGTGGCTGATTGGTCTGTGTGATCTGCGTTTTGTTTGCCGTTACGCTGCCTAGTCCCCCTACTTACCTTCCCGCTTGTCTCTCCATTTGTCTCCTCACTGTGTGATCGGAATTTTAGTTTTGTTTGGTTGCTGCCTTGTCTCCTAAGTTGTCTCCCCAACAAGGGTCCTAGACGGCAATTTCGCCACAGCCTTGGCCCATTTAGTTGTGCACGCAAAAGCTCGCGGACAGGTCCCAAACTGCAGTTTTGACACCCACTAAAGTGCCTTCCCGTTTGCCTGCCTGTGCTTCTAGAGCTGTATACTAGATATCTGGGGTCTATGCCGGTGTAGTTCGAGACTGGGAGCTAGTACCACCATTGGCCATCTGTATCCTGATGGCAGAAGTCCAGGACAGCATTGTTTCTTCTGAGGATGGGTGGCGAAGCATTGAACTTTGACAGTGAGGAATGGATTGTCGCTGATGGCTTGAGGTTCCGTGGATTGACTGGAGGGGTGAGGGCATTTGAAAAACGGGCTGTCTGTGAAATTGGCCGGCTGCTACATTCTCGTTTGTTTGTACTACCTGCTTTTGGTCGTGCCTCCGTTTTCTATTTCACTGGGAGCAGCTTCTCACATCGCAAACATGATGACGGCACCGAACAACCTCACGTCGCGGCGTGATGTGACCGGCAGGTCAGACTTCAGCACTCCGCTGCCCAAAGCGGAGGTGGCTCGAGAGACACGGGGACGAGAAACGGATAAACGGGACGACGAGATGGGAGGGCAGAGGTGAAGATGAGTGGAGGTGTTGGTTGGGCTCCAAAGTGAGTGGGCCAGGGGAGAAGCTAAAATTGAGGGGAGGTGAAGGTGGTTTTCTGAGAGAGGGACGCATTTAAGAACAGATGGATGAGAAGCCTATGGGCCTATGAAAGACCAGTGCACGTCTCCGTAACCGGCAACCGCATCCGTCAGCACGGAGCACGCGAGTCAACGAGAGTCAACGAGTCGGCCTGTTGCAGGTGGAGCACGTGAGAAACAAGTTGGCCAAAAAGAGCGTGCCTTGTCCGACATGGAACTGCCTGTGCTTGTCTGACATGCACACACGGAGGTTTGGCACAAACTCACACACACTCAGATAGATAGCGGGAGTTATGGCAGCTGGGTTGATTTGGGTTCTGTACCACCATGAGTTCCAATGATCGCCATTGGTGGAATTCGGAGTATCCCCGCACTTGTACTCTTCACAGCTACCTTCTATATATATATATATATGTGCCCTCTTAGTCCGAGCCAATCTTCATGAGTCCTCCACTCAATGAGTCTCAAAGCAAAGCATGGATGCAGAAAAAAGGAGTCAAATATGTTCTTTGATCAGGTCAGGAGTAGATGAGGTCAGACTAGATCAGATGGATACAGCTCCGCGTCCTGAGTTCGCATGGACTATGGACATGCGTCCTGGAAATCGTCTCATGATGTCGCATGTCTCGCCCCACAGGTGTGGATCGACCACTACGGCGTGGAAGTCGCAGTCCCTTGGCCGTTTTGGACAGAGACGAAGCGGCCGGAACTCGGCACTGATCACTCAACGCTGAAAAACCGGAAGAGGTGCTCCTCTCCTTGAGCCTTGGAGGCCTTGGAGGCCCCTTCAGAAACACTGCCCATACAAATCACACAACCAATGAAACCCAGCTAACCGACCTCGAACATCCTCGACCCCGGAAAAACCCTCGCTTCTCCAAGCCTTGCTGTGAACAGGCAGCACGGTCACACGGTAAACGCGACCCAAGGTCGCGAAGGAGAAGGTCAACCTGATGTTGGCACAAAGACGAATGAGGCCTGGGTGAAACTACTGCAGATGTCAAGAAGTGGACGAGAACTTCTTTGATCTTCCAAATTCTCATGCACCATACTGGGATGTGCTCTTGTAAGACCATTGAACCTTTGGCGGCCTTGGCTTCCACACGACGGGGTACCCGTGTCCTGACATGTCCTGAGAGTTCAGGTGCTGGGCGATGCTCTTGGCACACATGTCGGGCTTTGCCGCCATCAATGCGGGAGCACATCTGCAAGCTGTCAAGGCGTCATAGGGGGCTGTGGAGATGTATTTTCTCGATTTGGCCAAGACAAAAGTTAGAGTTTCAGACACAACATGACACAACCGATTTGTTTTGCTGAAGTGGTATGAATTGGGCCAGGTCTTTAGCTCGTCGCCGGTGCTTGCATTTCTTCCAGCGGGGAGCGCTCAGCTGGAGCGTTTTTCTGGGGTGAGCTTCTCTGGGCTTCACGAAGGGTCGTGGAACTCCATCCGATTGGGTCTTTTCGAGAGGCGGAGTACCAAACACAGATGATTTTTGAAGGCCTTTTGATTCGTTGGACGTGCTTAGCTTCGTTTTCGGTTCATGTCGAATCATCCAACGGCCAGTGGTTGGACCCGGCCATTCGGCCTGGTTCCACCCAGCAAGGCCATCATCAATCAGGTGGTCTTGCAGGCGCGAAGCAGAGAAATGCAGTGTCGACACGTGGAAGCTGTGGGCTGATGATCCATTCGGGCAGCGTTGGCATTTTCCGAGGCCGTGTTTTGCTCAGAAAAGGGGCGTGTGCTTTGGGTAGGACCTCCCATAGTCAGACCCTATGGCCGTGCAGCTCAGGCGGAGGCGCGGACGGATGGCCCCCGACGGGCGGCTTTCCTGGCGCTACGGGCGACAGTGCCAGTCCGCCAGTCCGCCGTGACCAGTGAAGGCCCCGGACGCGAGCGAAAAGCAGGCGGTCGCCAGGTCCTGCGGTCGGCGCCAGGTCCTGTGATGACGGTCCATGTACGAGAGCGCCAAGCTGACAGAAGGGCTGCGGCTAAATCGAGAAGCTTCCAGATTGGAGGCCATTGCTACTAGTAGCAAGGATGCAACTAGTAGGGCTTTGAACGGCCAGCGCGTCGAGATCTCGGCCTTCAGCCCGCGGCAGCGCTACCGATGCGCTGGGCGCTTCCAAGGCATCGGTCGAGACGGCCACCGACGTCGATGGTTCGACTGCTGGGTGATCAGTCAAGGCGATGGGTTCGAAAACTCAGTTTTGGAAGTCGACAACAAGCCAACAGCTTCGACCACGAACTTCGTGGAGTGGCAGTATGTGGAAGTCGATGAGTTCGTGCGGGCGCGAGTGACCAGAGCAGAAGACAGGTTTGGAATTGCACGCTAGAACCATTATCGACAGAGTCTACAGTCTACACGTCAAGCGTTACATTAAAGATGACAAAGGTAATTTTTGTGTTCCTGGCCATCCTTGAATGGCCCGGAACACAAACGCCGTCCCGGATGTCGGGTCGCCTGTCGTGGGCGGTGCGCTTGAATTTGGAGTTGCAACTCGATGGCAGATATCAGAAGAGGGACGCGGCTTGGTATGAACGGAGCGAGTGAAAGGAGCCAGCGGCTGCCAATCTGTGGCCGTCGACAGGCTGCTACGTGGAAAGCACTGGAGGACTTGACCCCTTGTTCGCTTCATGTGGCACCTACTGAGCGTGAGGCCGAGGAAATCCGGTCCCATTCCCCATTCACTTCGCTTCCTCGCATCCTGCATGCATCGAGGTTTGTCCAGCGACCTTGGTGCAGCCATGTTTACCCCACTGAGATTGGAAGTGCAGATGAGGTGATGTTTGCCCTTTTCCCGAACCACTGTGCAGCACAGAAAAGGGGTGGCAGTGGGACGGTAAGTAAGGCTTAACATTGCAAGGTGCTTTCAGGAGGATTTGGTTCCTCCATGCACTTCTTCATGCACTACCTCACGCTCTTACGTCAGAACATGTTATGATCTTTGGAAGCTACACAAAAACTTATGAAGGCTTGAGGGCGTCGCAGACGGCATCTTGATCAAACAAACGCATAATATAAAGGTATAAGATATCAGGATCAACAAAACACTATGATTAAACAAAAATAATCCCAAGCAGGTCCCCTAGTCCATTGGTCGACTGGTCCTTTGGTCCTTTCATCCCCTGATCCTTTGGGCTCCTGGTCCTTTGGTCCTTGTCCTGGTCCGCTGGCCTCGTGGCCGGTCACAAACACGAGGTTTGCGAGAACCAAAAGCCACCCGGTTTCCTTGATCCTTGCGTCACTTTCTGAGTGCCCTTCATTGATGAGGCAATGGGGTGTGTAGTTTTCGATGATCTATTTTGTGGCGCCTTTTGTGGCTTTTGATGTTTGGTTCGCTCTGGGGGGAGGCGCTGCAACCTCCCTCCAAATCTCCTCCAGCGCCACGAAGTCTGCACTACTTTTGCCAATGCGTTGCCTACCACGGCATAAGGTCCCATCGCAGACTCACACAGAATATTGACCTCACTCGCCTAAGTCTTTTGATCTTGTGTTGCAAGCATCCTTTCATTGTCCTTTGGTGGATGATCCCTTCATGGATAGGGAAATAGTAGTTTTCGATGCTGATCCATACTGTGGTGCCTTCTGAGTCTGTTGGCTTTTGTAGTTCGCAACCCCTCTCCAGCGCCACGAAAACCTGCACTACTTTTGCCAATGCACTGGGTCTGTCACGACAGGCTTTTTAGAGGTCACCCATCGCATATCCACACCAAATATCGCACACCCTCGCCTAAGTCTTTTTTTTCTTCGGGGACTGTGTGTTGCAAACATCCTTTCATTGTCCTTTGGTCGCCCGCCCTGCTACTTCTGTCCTTTCCCTAATATTTTTTTCCTCTCGTTGCTCACTGGGCATATCTTTTTGATCACTTTCTTTCTTCGATCCCCCTCGAACCTTTTTAATTATGCTATTCTCAATCTTTGTTTGATCCCTCACCCATTCCGGACCACGCGCGCACATTCTAGAATGAACTTGTTATACATTGTCACTTTGGCCCGTGCAGATTTTCTTCAAGATTGCCTCGCTGGCCCGTGCTAAGCGCATGGAAGAATGCATCAAGAACGAGGGTGAGAGCGGCTGCTTGTCAGAAAGGTGAGCGGCGTACGGAGATTCCTGACACGACTGATATGATAGATATGTAGCATCCTGCGGGCAATTTGAAGCGGTCTCCATTCTGCTCGTGTTTTGCAGGGCTTCGTGGTGGGAAACCAATTCTTGCGTGATTGACCACGTGTTTGTTTTGTGTGTTTTAAATTCTCGTTTGCACGTGGTTGCCAGGTGCTGCTTTCACCGGTGGCAATTTCCGAAGTTCGTTCAAATTCCAAGTTGCCGTGTGAGTTCCCAAAAGTTTGTGCAATCTATGTTGTCCGCGCAGGCAGGAGGAATGCTACCTGTGTCATATTTACTATTGCGTGGTTGATGCGACTTATGTTTTTGGGTGGGGGGCAGTGTTAGCTGTTAGCCTCGATGCAGGAGTGTGTGTCGTCGATGTGTATGGGGGAAGTTATGGGGTATAAACCTATGGGACGCTGTGAGAAGTGGCACAACGCGCGCACGGTGCAGGAATATTGGGGTGGTTGCGGCGGTGGTTGGTGTTGGTGTGCGCGGTTTGGTGCAGTGTGTAGCATTCCTGTTTGCAGGTACAATCACGACTGTGGCAACATACGCACACAGATATGATTATATAATACTTATTCAGCACAATTTTACAGATGTGAAGATATTTTTTTCTTCAACATGTCAGTGAAAGGCGGTGTCCGTGCTCAAGGATTATATAGTGGTCGCTGTATGTTTTTTTTAGGTGTTGCCCTGTCGCATTGCTGGTGGCTGGCCTGAGAGTGGCTGTGACAAATCAGTCCATTTATATTGGAGCAGTGGATAGATACTTTCTGTTTGGGACTTACCACGGTGGTGAGGAAAGATATTTGCACACCTGCAGCCAGAAGAAAGACACGCAAAAAAGGAACTTACAAAATGAAACACACGCAAACCACCCTCAGGCTCCACCAAACGCCACCGCCTTGTCCAAACCCGTCGGGCAGATATATATATATATACATACACATATATACACAGTATATATATATATATACATATGTATCATATTTATTTATATCATATTTATATACCTATCAATGCATATCTATAGTTGAGTGCTTGTTTACCAGCTGGTGAGTCCAACGGCAGGGTTCGCCTGGACCGTCTCGGTCTCGGTCACCCGGGTGTCGGCCGACGGGACGCCCGTGACGGGACGCCCCCCGAGGTGTCACGCGTTCGTTGTGTCAACCATGTCCCCGGAGGCTGTGATGAAGTACATACTCCAAAGCTAATTTGTTGGGCCCTCCCTTTTCGTGTTTTCTTTTTGGTGTTTTTTTGGGGGCATGTGGCGGAACGGAAGTTCTACTGAGTCTACTGGTTCGAGAAAGCAGAGCAGGCTTTCGTCGCATTTCTCCCTTTGCACTATTGGTGTTAGATCTTCACTAGCTGCTCCCCTTATGCGCAAGCTCTGGGCAATGAAGTAAATGTTTTGTTTAACAGATTGAACTTGTACGGAGGCCCCCCCTAGGCGAATTCAAAGAAAGGGACGTGACAAGAGTTTTATTGCATCTCGTCTGTGTATTGATAGCTTTTCCAGGTTCTTGAGACCAAACCTGTGCGTCTTTTTGGTAGGTGAAGTGAGGTGAGTCGATTTTGGTCCAAACCGAGGCTTTCAGAAAGCTGCACTGTGTCATGAAGCTGCATCTCGTCTTACTCAAACATCGCCGAAACGTGCGTTGTGTCTCAGGTTGGACTGTGGAGGTGAGACCGTGCCGATTTGCCCTCAAACTTGGAATGAACCTCGATCAAGTTGTACCAGAAGGGTCGGATGTCCGACTTAATTATCAAGGAATCATGCCTTTTTAGAAGTCTGAATGGAAGGTGGCACGCAGACAATTAGCGCATGTACCATGTAAAGGCAGTTGCCGTCTAGTCTAGAATCTCCAAGTTGGCTTTTCAGTTTCAACATGTTTCAACCATCGATCACCGCCATGAATCTTGGGTCACACACCTTAGCACCAAAAAGGCTGCGCACCCTAGTGAAGGTGTTTCAGGACTTTTTGAGGGCCTGTCGGTCAGAAAGAGGTCGACACCGAAGCGAATGAACAGAAATGTATGTCTTTGCAACCCTCATCTACCGAATTTCCTGCTCAACAAACTGTGCTAACTCCCGGGTGCTTGTTCGCTTGTTCCCCTTCTTCGGGCAACTGCGTGAACCGGATTCTTACTCTCTGAAAGGGTGCGCAGAGAAAAGGTGGACCGACTCGTCCATGCTGGGCCGCAGCTTCTAGGGTCAGGAGAAGGAGATCGAGTGAGGGACCCGAAACACCAACAGGGACTGTTCGAGCAAAGCGGTCTTTCCAGGGTTTCCACTTCCATGTTAGTGGATCAGAGCGTACACTTGTTTGCCAGTCTGCTGTGCTGTAGCGCAGCTCCAAAGACATGCCACAGGTTCTGGAAAGAGCCCTATTTTCTGGATTTTCCCATGGCACTAGAAACCCAAATGCTTTCTTTAAGCCGGTTCGCGCGCGTTGTTTTGCTACGAGGTGCCCGCTCGCACCTCTCACAGAAAAAATTGTGTTCTTTTCTATTTTATTCACCCTTCGGTAACATTCATAGTTGAGGGACCCGGCCAATGCAGCACAAATTATATTTTTACCGAGTTTCCTCCACCTTTCGGTAAAATCCATAGCTGATGGACTCAGGCAAATGCGGTAGAAGAAAGAACACTTTTGTTTTTTTCTTTTTAATATTTCCCCAGATAGCAAAGCGCGCTTTCGAGACAGGTTGCTGGTGCTGGTGCCGGGTGCCGGTGCTGGTGCTGTGAGCTGGCTGCGCACGTGGTGGAGACAGGTTGGTGCCGGTGCTGGTGGTGGGTGCCGGGCGCCGGTGCTGGTGCTGGTGGCTGGTGCTGTGAGCTGGCTGTGCACGTGGTGGAGACAGGTTGCTGGTGCTGGTGCTGAGTGCCGGGTGCCGGTGCTGGTGCTGGGGCCGGTGCTGGTGCTGTGAGCTGGCTGTGCACGCTGGTGCTGTGAGCTGGCTGTGCACGTGGTGGAAACAGGTTGCTGGTGCCGGCGCTGGTGCTGGGTGCCGAGTGCCGCTGGTGGTGCCGGGTGCTGGTGCTGTGAGCTGGCTGTGCACGTGGTGGAGACATGTTGCTGGTGCTGGTGCTGGGTGCTGGGTGCTGGTGGCGCTGGTGCTGTGAGCTGGCTGTGCACGTGGTGGAAACAGGTTGCTGGTGCCGGCGCTGGTGCTGGGTGCCGGGTGCCGCTGGTGGTGCCGGGTGCTGGTGTGAGCTGGCTGTGCACTTGGTGGAGACAGGTTGCTGGTGCTGGGTGCCGGTGCGGGTGCTGGTGCTGTGAGCTGGCTGTGCACGTGGTGCAGACAGGGTGCCGGTGCTGGGTGTACGCGTGGTGCATGGAGACAGGGTGCCGGGGCGGGTGCGCGACGTGGTGGAGACAGGGTGTCGGTGCTGCTGGCCGTGCGCGTGCCGGTGCCGGCGCTGGGTGCTGGCTGGCTGGCTGTGTGCGTGGTGGAGACAGGGTGCTGGGCGCCGGCGCTGCGAGGTTGCTGTGCCGCGCGTGGTGGAGACAGGGTGCCGGTGCTGTGTGCTGGGTGCGTGCTGTGAGCTGGCTGCGCAGGTGGTGGAGACATGGTGCCGGTGCTGGGTGGGTGCTGGGTGTCGGTCCTGGTGCTGGTGCTGTGAGCTGGCTGTATGCGCGCAACATCATACGGTGTTGTCGCTTGAGCATTCTTTGTCTATTAGCGCTGTGGGGTATTTACCCTCTTGAGGTTTTGTTTTGGCCGACAGCTGTGTCAAGGGCTGTACTGTTTGCGCGCGCATACTTTTGTACGTATAATGTTGTATGCGCAACGTCAGGCTCTCAACCGACCATTCTTTCAGCATGTTTCAGCATGCTACACACACAATAGTCGTGCTGGATATTGCTTGGCCTTGGGCAAGTGAGGCCTACGGGCTTTGCCGTTTGTGCGCATATTTTTGCGCGCGTAAACTTGTACGCGCAAGATCATACTGGCCGTATCGTTCCACAGATCGTTGCTTCAAGCATGCTACAAAATCAACAGTGGCGCTGGATACTGCTTGGCCTTGGGCCAATGACACTTACGGGCTTTGCTGCTTGCGCGCATGCTTTTGTGCGCATAATCTTTTTCGCGCAAGACCATACGTTGTTATTCCCTGCTGTGCGCGTGGTGGCGACAGGGTGCCAGTGCTGGGCGCCTGTGAGCTGGCTGTGCGCGTGGTGCCAACAGGTTGCGGGTGCTGGGTGCTGGTGCTGGGTGCTGTCAGCTGGCTGTGCGCGTGGTGGAAACAGGGTGCCGGGTGCTGGCTGTGCGCGCGTGTGGTGCTGTGAGCTGGCGTGCCGGTGCTGGGTGCTGGTGCTGTGGCGGGCACAGGGCGCCGCCGGGTTGCTGGTTGTGTGCGTGGTGCAGATTGGGTGCTGGCGCCGGGTGTTGGCGCTGGCTGTGCGCGTAGTGGAGACACGCCGCGATGTAGCGCATGTAAAAATTGGAGCTGCTGCCAATGCAGGGTGCAGCCCAGAAAAATCTTTTGCATGCTTTTGCTATCTGGGGTCTATGCTGGTGTAATTATTTTTTTTCCCCTGCGCCTTATAGGTAGAAGGATTTGGCCGACAGACCCGCGCAAAACTGTATCTTTGTGAATGTTTGACCATCTTTGCCGCAGAAGTGCCTCGTGGGAACCCCGTAATGAACCCGAACAGCGGATCTTTGGATGGGTCAAGTCGAAGATCAGCAGCTGAAAGAGTTTTCCCCAGATAGCAAAGCTATGGGGTTCTTACTTCAAATAACAATGAGTTGCCCGTGCGCGCTCTCGAGACAGGTTGCTGGTGCTGGTGCCGGTGCTGGTGCTGTGGGCTGGCTGTGCACGCTGGTGCTGTGAGCTGGCTGCGCACGTGGTGGAGACAGGTTGCTGGTGCCGGTGCTGGTGCTGGGTGCCGGGCGCCGGTGCTGGTGCTGGGTGCCGGGTGCCGTTGCTGGTGCTGGTGGTGCCGGGTGCCGGTGCTGGTGCTGGTGCTGTGAGCTGGCTGTGCGCGTGGTGGAGAAAGGTTGATGGTGCTGGTACCGAAGCCCCGGTGCTGGTGCCGTGAGCCGGCCGTGCGCGTGGTGTAGACAGGTTGCTGGTGCTGGTGCCTGGTGCCGGTGCTGGTTGCTGGGGCCGGTGCTGGTGCTGTGAGCTGGCTGTGCAGGTGGTGGAAACAGGTTGCTGGTGCCGAGCACCAGCACCGGCGCCCGGCACCAGCACCAGCAACCTGTCTACACCACGTGCGCAGCCAGCTCACAGCACCAGCACCGGCCCCAGCAACCAGCACCGGCACCAGGCACCAGCACCAGCAACCTGTCTACACCACGTGCACAGCCAGCTCACGGCACCAGCACCGGTGCCCGGCACCAGCACCAGCAACCTGTCTCCACCCGGCACCCAGCACCAGCAACCTGTCTCCGCCACGTGCACAGCCAGCTCACAGCACCAGCGCCCGGCACCACCAGCGGCACCCGGCTTCCAGCACCAGCTGGTGCTGTTAGCTGGCTGTTGGCTGTGCACGTGGTGGAAACAGGGTGCCGGTGCTGGTGCTGGGTGTACGCGTGGTGCATGGAAACAGGGTGCCGGGGCGATTGCATGCACGTGGTGGAGACAGGGTGCCGGGTGTCGGTGCTGGTGCTGGGTGTACGCGTGGTGCATGGAGACAGGGTGCCGGGGCGATTGCGTGCACGTGGTGGAGACAGGGTGTCGGTGCTGGGCGCCGGGTGCCGGTGCTGGTGCTGTGAGCTGGCCGTGCGCGTGCCGGTGCCGGTGCTGGGGGCTGGCTGTGCGCGTGGTGGAGACAGGGTGCCGGGTGTCGGTGCTGGTGCTGGGTGTACGCGTGGTGCATGGAGACAGGGTGCCGGTGCCGGTGCTGGGGGCTGGCTGTGCGCGTGGTGGAGACAGGTGCCGGGTGCCGGTGCCGGTGCTGCATGCTGCCTGGCTGGCTGTGCGCGTGGTGGAGACAGGGTGCTGGGCGGTGCTGCGAGCTTGCTGGTACATCATACGGTGTTGTCGCTTGAGCGTTGTTTGTCTATCAGCGCTGTGGGGTATTTACCCTCTTCAAGTTCTGTTTTGGCCGGCCGCTGTGTCAAGGGCTGTACTGTTTGCGCGCATACTTTTGTACGTATAATGTTGTTTGCGCAACGTCAGGCTCTCAACCAACCATTGTTTCAGCATGTTTCCGCATGCTACACACACACACACTCACACGCACAATAGTTGTGCTGGATATTGCTTGGCCTTGGGCGAGTCAGGCCTACGGGCTTTGCCGTTTGTGTGCATACTTTTGCGCGCGTAAACTTGCACGCGCAAGATCATACTGGCCTTATCGTTCTAGAGATTGTTGCCTCAAGCATGCTACAAAATCAGCAGTGGCGCTGGATACTGCTTGGCCTTGGGCCAATGACACTTACGGGCTTTGCTGTTTGCGTGCATACTTTTGTGCGCATGCACATTTTTGCACAAGATCATACGATATCATATGTGCGTGGTGGACTGTGAGCTGGCTGTGCGCGTGGTGCAAACAGGGTGCGGGTGTTGGGTGCTGGTGCTGGGTGCTGTCAGCTGGCTGTGCGCGTGGTGGAAACAGGGTGCCGGGTGCTGGTTGCGCGCGTGTGGTGCTGTGAGCTGGCGTGCCGGTGCTGGGTGCTGGTGCTGGCTGTGCTCGTGGCGGACACAGGGTGCTGCCGGGTTGCTGGTGCTCGTTGTGTGCGTGGTGCAGATTGGGTGCTGGTGCCGGGTGCTGGCGCTGGCTGTGCGCGTAGTGGAGACACGCCACGCCGTATTGCGTGTAAAAATTGGAGCTGCTGCCAACGCAGGGTGCCGCCCAGAAAAATCTTTTGCATGCTTATGCTATCTGGGGTCTATGCTGGAGTAATCATCAATCTCCATGTGTAGCTGATTATGCAAGCGCGGCTACTTTGTCGCCACAGTTCTTTTCAGCGTTTTTGGCATTCCTCAGGTGATTGAGGCTGAGAACGATGTGTCGGGGGTCCTAGGTTTAGATAGGGGTCCGGGTTGCAAGGTGCAGAGAGCAGCAGAGAGCAGCAGAAATGTAGTATAGCTGCCACATTGTTACGGCTCGCCGTGCGGCTCCTCCCTGAGGGCCGTTTTCACTGAGGTCATCCCTTTCCCTGTCGTTCTTGAGCGTGCAGGTGGATGGTCGTCTGCGAGAGTTCGTGGTGTCAGATTCAAGATCGACTAGGCAGACCATGTAGCAGGTTCCAAAGGACTGTTCAGACAGGAGAAGAGTGGGTGACCCACTCTTCTCCCGCCTTCTCCCCATCTCCAGCTGTTTACTTGCAACTACATGCTTCACAGCTTGCGGCTGGTCAACTGGCAGGTCATTCGCTTTATCATCAGTGGAGTCATGCCAAATGCGGAGGGCGAAGAGGAGCTAATGGATCACAAACACCTGATTTTTGTTGAGGAAAGATTTTGACAGTTTGTGCTGCTGTTTCCTTAAGTCTTGTTTGGGAAGTGAATGGGGCTCTTCATAGGGGACGTTTCAGCACGATGCTCGTCCGAGGAGCCGCCGGTGAAGCATCACTGGGCCACCATCTCTGGCTTCTTCGCAAGGGGGTCCAAGAGGGCTCTCCAGATGTCAATCCCAGATGTCAAAGGTTGGCAGCGAAGCAGATTGAATCGCAAAACATGTGGGCTAACGGCTAACTGTGCTAACCAGGTGCTTTGCCACACAGTCGCCCGTTCCGATTTTGACTCGGTTTCAAGAGCTGCTCATGAGGGCTTGGGAGTGGTGGCAGTGATCCTCGCAGTGGCCGGGGGCCTCGCAGATTGCCGGTGATCATAGGTTCAGTGGTCGCAACATCTTCACAATGGGAGCGTATATGCACCTAATTATACATACATACTTCTACTTCGACTTACATACATATACTGTGTATAGTCAGATATTTTTGCTTTTCATTCTGGGAGGGGGGCTCGGCGTTCTGTTCTGAAAGCAACCTGCAAGGTCTAGCGGCGGTCTAGCGGAATATCGGAAAAACTCGATGACAAACTAGAGTGACTAGATCAATGGTTTCAATGATGGACCAGATGATCCAATCGGAGTGCAAACCTCTGTGCTCCTGTGGCAAGTCCCCACGCACAGAGGTGCCTTTGGACACACAAAGGAAGGTGAATCGAATGCTGAAGGTTTCCGAGCCGGACAGAACCTGGCTCAAGACTGAAGCTAAGCTGAGAAATATAGTTCCATACTTAATGAATCAACAATGCCACAAAGTGCCTCCATCAATTAGGCGGGTTTTGTGCTCTGAATTGGTGGGAGTTGTGGGCACAACGCTTGCCTCCAAGATAGTGAATTAACTGCAAGGTTTGGAGTGCATACTTCAGGAGGGTTCAGCCTTTGAATGCTGGCCAGCCTGAAGTTCAGGCACATGAATGATTTGGGTCGCCCCCCCTTTGTTTGTTGAGCATGGAAAGAGGTTCCAGTGGCGGACCTCTCCCCATCTCCCATCCCCATCTCGAGGTCCCAAGGATATCGCCAGAGATTTAGTCGATCACTCACATGTACTGCATTTGTTTCATCATTGACGTGGCGTCCAGGTCACAGCTGTGAAGTGCACAAACGAGGAAGAGGAAGAGGAGTCACCAAAAAACACCGCTCGGGGGCTGGAGCTCACTGCCGGACTGTGTCCGTTTACGGAGTGTCTATGCAACAGTAAGTGCTGCCCAGGGAAGTAGCGCTATGGTGTTGTAGGCCAGTGCGCCATTTCTCCAAGCTTGGTTGTAACAGAGGATGGAACACTTGCGTGAGAACATGCTAGAAGAGTCCAGAGGAAAATAGAAAGAGACCCTGTTATGTCATCGATATCGAGTTGGCTAGCGTCACAGATTATATAAGTGCCTCTTTTGGGTTTGCTGCTTGTAGGGTTTCAGAGGTCGGGTTGAATCGTGCTAAGCAGCATGTCGAGGCATTTGTTGGCCACTAAATGTGAAGATGTTTTCATGTAATTCGAGGAGTAAGATGCTGCTCTTGTAGGGTGTGTTGGCTGCGATAGTGGTGGTGCTTTAGCTTTCCTCTTGGTGGTGCACCAGTGGGCCTACGGCCTACTCGAGTGCTCCTCCTCCCTCCGGCAGCTCTCGTTGGTCTCGGTGTGTTTGACCGCAGGAGGGCCACCATAGCGTGCCATCGGAGCCCCTGAGCTGGGAACCCAAGACACGGCGAGTTACCAAGTTTCGGTGGGCAGTGTGGTTTTTCAGCTGAATCAGCGCCCGAAGTGCTGATGGGTGGAGGTTTGTGACTCAGACCCAAGCGGCAACATGCGCCGGTGCCACACTCCTCTGGTTTCAGGCACACGCATTGGGAGCGTTCTGAGCAACTCCCTGGCCATGACGTTCGCGTGGATCCTTCTCTTCGGAACCAAGTTGGGCACCCAGAGTGGAATTTTCCTTCGGCTTGCGCAGATGAAATTGGAGGATTGCACGAAATGGGATGCAAATGATGGCTTTCTGCTCCAAAGCTTGACCACCTGCTCGCATATTGCATTGGCCCTTTGAAAGAACAGGATAGGGGGCAGAATGGCAGGACCCTGGAAGGATTGGGCCTTTCCATCACTGTTTCAGGTGGTTTCTCTTCAAAGTGGCGGGTGCCCCAGAGGGAAGATGTTTCTCGCTGTCGCAGCAGATGATGATGTGCTAGAAGAGACGCTTGTGCATTCACATGCTTGTGAAGAGAGGTGTAGAAGCGGTGTTTGGGCGGTTTGGTGACAGTCTGACACCCACCACAGCGGGATCCCATACTGTATCAATTCGATGGGATATGGATTTTTGAGGAGTTTGAGACAGAAATCAAACCCGCATCATTACTGCAAAAGTCACATCATTCTCTGGCATCCCGCTTGCGTATGCACATGGGCATGTGGGGGGCTGGGGACGCCCCATGTTTTCTTCCAGCCTGTCGGGGACCCTCTCCACCGGCTGGTGTTCCAGCCGGTGGTTTCTCATGTGCTTTTGTGCTTTCGTTTGGCCGCCCTCTGTTGCTGGCTAGCCATGCATTGTTTGCTTCTTGCCCGTGCTCTGGTGACCTGCCTGATCAGTTCGCTGAGCGTAGAGCTGGTTGATTTGGCATAGCACAGCAGGTTTGGTAGGTGCCAACCAGGTGTTTTTACTTACTTTCGGTTGAAAAAGCCGGGCGCGGGATGGCGCGGATGGCGCGGGCAGTCGAATCTTTGGATGAATCAGCGCCCCCAAAAAAACCCACAGAATCTTCGCAGAGCAGCTTGGGAATCTGAATTGATCTGAATGTCTTGCCTTGCAGGACCTCTTCAATCTTGAAACTATGATTGGCCAGATTTGCCATGCGACTGGCTCAGTGAGCAACGGATCCACTTGGAATGCTGGTGGGTGCTAGCAGTGCTAGTCTTGCCTTTTGGGGTTATCTCGATGATGTGGTCACCACAACAGCTTGATGTGTTCACTTGGTGAGGCGCTGGCTTTGTCAATCATTTGCGGAGTGGCAGTTTTTGCGCCCGGCAGCTCAGGAAACGAGCAGGTGCCTTTAAGAACCAGTATATAACTGTTCATAGTCTTTGGCACAGCCGTGGGATGGTGTGTTGTCTTTTTTCTCGGTTCATGCTGCACTTATATAACTTATATATGTTATTTGACTTTTCGGGGGGTCAGGATTCCAGGATTCTGCAGGAATTCCAGGTGATGACCTGGTAGCAATGAGCACATCACATGAAGAGCACCTTTTGTTGAACCAAGAGCACGTCACAGCTGAATTTCGCCGCTGTGGTGGCACGGCATGCTTTCTGCAACTTGTTCAACTGCAAGGCTGGATTTTGTGGACGACTCCATGCGCGGCAGCGAGCAGGGGGCAAAGGCAGGAGGCCAATAACATTTCAGTATGAAGATGAAGGCAGTAGCTTTGTATAACCTTGCGGCATTTTGTAATTGACAGATGCACTCGAACCCGTGGGCACGTTGATAAGCCAATTGAGGAGTACCTCGACATCAGAGATATCTCATTATTTAGCTTCGCAGCCGTGCATGTCATCCGTCGCTGAAGGCTGCGCGGAAAGCAATCCGTGTGATTATCCAGGTGGAGCCGGGAGCAGCTTGAGAAGGGGGCAGAAATCGAGCAGTCACGTGCTACCAGGGATACGTCAGTCAAAGTTCGAAGTTCTAAGTGTTTGATTTCTCAGACCAAGTCCATCCAGCTCAGTCTCTCAGAGAGGTGTGGGATCAGCTCGTGCTGGTCAGAAGTGTGGTGAGGCCATTGCTATCCTTATTGGTTTCTCCTGGGAGCACTGCTTTGACGCTGGGGTCGCCGATGTGTCCTTCATCACTCCACACAAGAGGAGCATCATCCTGCGGGACATCAGTGTTCGATGAGCACAAGTTAGCATGGTACTGATCAGGTTTGATTTTAGATTGCCAAGTGCCTTGAGGGGCTTGTGGATTGTGTGGTGTAGCATGGCGTGCACGTTGCCCTCGTTATTCCCTTAAACAAATCGGTTCTGTGAGTCAGGACCACGAAGTTCTTCATGGGCTTCCTGGCTAAAAGATAAAGAAGCATGAGCAACGGAATTTCTGGAGAAGCAAGGCAAAGCTTTGGTCAAGTCTCGGTCCTTTCATTGATGTTGAGAGGTGCACTGTGCACGAGACGGGGTTCTCAACAAGTCGTAGAATTCATGGCTGAGAGAAAGGCTTGACTGAATCCGAAAGCCGCGTTTGCCATTTTGTGTGGTGGTCTGAGTACGCTGGTGAGTACGCTAGAGTATGTCTGTGGTCTTATTCGCTAGTGTTTGATGGTCTTCTAGCTGAATGTTGTTTGCCACCTTGAGGTATCTTTGTGTGCATTTTCCTGGTGCCGGCGTGGAGGAGGTTGCTCGAGAGCGGGATGAGAGCTGAGATTCCACCGAAAAAACAGGTGGACAGCTGGCAAACAGGTGGACAGCTGCCCTCAAGGAATCGTTTCCTTTCAAGGTAATTGCTCAAAAGAATAGCTCACCGAATGTTCAGGCACTTCGGCTTGATGCATGTCAGGCACATCCTGACCAAAGTCTTGGCGTATGAAGATATGAAGAAGAACAGGGCGCATGCCACTGGGTTGCCTATGTCGCCATGATTTTTAAGCCCCAATTTATCAAGGGCGGCCCCAGAGGTCCTGTGAAAACCGAAGGTTCTGAGGATTCGGTTCTTGGTTTGCGCCAAACAAAGACCCATCGTGTGCCCACAACCACTGCAGTCCTTCTGCTGAGGCCAAGAAGAACTCGGTCCGAAGGTCGCCCCTTGGCCTGGTGATGTCAGGGATTCGGCTGACAAGCTCGGCCCCAGAGCAGCGGTGTATGTGGGGCAAACATTGCGGCCCAGAGGAGAAACCCCAAGTAGAGCCGGTGAGTAGCCCAAAGTTCAACAGCTCCCAAAACAAAATAGCTCAAGTGACAGTGACATGACTATATATACTGTAACTATATTATATATATATAACTATATTATATATATAGTATATATATATATATAGACGAAATCTGTGGCACCAACGAAACTGGAGGGGACGGTGGCCACAAGCTGTGCACAAGCGCTCCAGATCTGCTGACCCGAGGGTCTTGATGAGAAAGCAAGAGTCCAAATACGAGTTGCTGGGCACCAAGGACGACGGGGGTTGTGTCCTTGATGAGACCACGGAATTCTGTGTTCTTGCGTTGAACGGTGTCCTTCAGAACAGAATTCAGGGCATCCTTCGGCTTCTGACGAAGTTCAGGACCCGATGGAAGCTCAAGTCACCAAAGTGTCCGCGGCAGACATGGAGACAGGGAGGGTGCCGAAGGATGCCTTCCTCAAGGTGGCGCAAGGTGACAAGGTGCGGGCTGTCGAGCTGAGTCGGGAGCGGGAGCTGCCGAGATCTGGTTCGTTCGATCTATTTCTGTTGCTCACCTATTCTAATTCTGAGAGAGTGCAAGTGCGAGCTTGGCATCTCAAACATCCTCAACGATTCGCAGGATCATCCACTCGTAGGTGGCACTGGTGGTTCAAAACAACCGTTTTTCCTTGACGAATCACTGCCTGTGCGGCCCTGGGGCCGACAGGCCGACAGAATCAACATGAATCAACAGGTCCATCCTCGTGGAATTTCAGGTTCGTGTCCCCTTTTCGCCTTCGCTTCTCGGGGTGTTTTGAAGCGTCGCCCTGTGCAGGTGATTGTGAAGTCCATGGAGCAGTCAGACTATGTGTGGGCGGAAATCGATGGGAAGGAAGGAATCCTTCCACGCAGCTGGCTGATGGCAGGAGAGTGTATGAGATCTGGATAGCCTGGGAGAAGGAAAGCGTGGGGACAGTGCCAGTAGCGGGGAACAACTGATTTTGAGCCTTTTTCCCTTCAGCTATCGTCGATGGAGAGTAGATGGCACAATCCTCAAAAGGTGGTTTATGTGGACCCCCCATTGTAAAATATTTTTGGGTGCCAGTGCCATCTACTCTGAAACCAATGTAAGTATTTGTGTAATACACCACCCCATCTGAATTGAACATCATCTTCAAAGGGAGGGATTATGGTCCTCAAGAGTCTACATTCATTATATAATGCGAATTGTTGGTCACTGCGCCAGACAGCACTGGCACTCCGCCAGTTGAGGGAACTGACGTTGAACTCTCTCGGCGGAGTCACGGAAGGAACGACCTCGGCTGAAGTATCGGCACCGAACGCCGATGATCCTGTCTTTCTGTCAACTCTAGTTGTCGTCGTTTTTTGAGGTTAGTATATAGACCATTTTGATGTGTGTTTGTGGACACCTCACCGCACCACAAGCCTTTGCCAGACACCCATTCGACCACAGGAGGGAAGGACTAGCAGCTAGCAGTGCCCTCAGCAGGCATGGTTAAGACAATCATAATGAGGCCGGCATTAGGTTAGACTGTGTTTTTCTTTTCTGACTTGTTACTAGTAGCTTCTTGCTACTAGTGACTAGTGGCGATGCCGTTACTAGTAGCGATGCACTTGTTACTAGGCAAATAGTTGACGGCCATGCATACAGACATGGACCATCCATCCGATGACGCCACTATACGGATTTGAGTCATGATTTTCGCTTGGGGTAGGTAGCTGATTGATGGGATGGACACCCTTGGCGTGCTTCAATGCATGCAATGTGAGTACTGCAGTTCTTGAGCACTGCGCTGCTAAGGATCACAAAGTTGAGGCGTTTTTTTGCCCAGCTGCTGCATTCTCCTCGTGCACTTCGCAACAGTTAGCCGTTTGCACATTCCATTTGGTTGTGTCAGTTGGGCTGCAAATACTGTAAGTGGATTTCAGCGGATGCACCAGTTTGATGCCGAAAGAAGAGAGGAAAGCAGCTCCGCGACCCAAATAGCCCGCACGGGCATTGCGGGCCTTTGCCGCGGCCTCGGCCGCAGATTTTTTGCTTTTCACCGCAAGGACTAGCAACACCTCGAAGGTACCAATGGCAAAGTCCATTGCCTTTCGTGGGGACTCCAATCTCGCTGGGGCGCGCAACTCCAAATTGATTGCCCTCCGATGAGAACTATTGGAGTCAAATTTTGGGTTGACTTATTTTTGCAGATGTGTCACTTTTACTTCACCAGCGTGCCCGGCTTTGTGTGTTTGTGACTTGAATCTTAGACTAAACAACGCGGCGTCAAGTGCGTGTCTTTCGAAGGTGTTGCAGTAACGCTTAGTGAGTCTTTTTTGGGAGGTCATCCGAGCTCACCATACAATTGTCGTATCTGACGCAATCATGAACGCAGATCATGCTAGACATTTGACGAAGGGCACCGCTTCACCTGCGCGTTACGTTAAGCTCACTGGATGATTCCAGCACGCTCCTCGAAGCAGCTCAAAGAGCTGAAGCTTTGTTGTTTGTCGCCTGAAGCTCAGGGGTCCTTCCAACTACTGTTGTTTCTCGAGCCCCTCGGCTCCAGAGGTTCTAGCGCTGCTTCTGCTTTCTTCAGCTTTTCTGCTGACCTCTATTTTTCTCGTGCTGGACTTGAAGTGGCGGGACTGTGTGGCTGAGGTTGGTCTGCCAATTCTCTTTCCGCACAGTCATTTCTTTAAGAAGTTGTTTGCATGATCAGGACGGTCGGCCTCCAGGTTCCACCACTTCTCCTGGTCTCACTGGACGCCTTTGGATCCCGTGGATGCTGCGCGGACGGAAGGGAGATCAAATGAGGTTGTGCCAAGCAGCTGCAGTTTTACAGGGAAGCAGCTCTCACGCAAGGGTAAGCAAACCTCATATACAGTAGGTCTCTATTGAACATTTTTTTTTCAAATATAGGACGGCAGTCTTAATTTTCGGTGTCAACTGGCATAGGTGAATGAAACAAGTCGATGGTGGTGACCGTTATGTAGATGATGGTGATGAGTATCATTTAGTGCCAATTGGCATGCAGGAAGAGCACATGCCATCTTCTTCCCTGCTTGAAAAGTCACATTTTCTCTCAACAAGATCCTTTAAAAGGCACATCGGCTCAAACGGCTGAGAAGATGTCTAAAGACTGGCTAAGTCGGGAAGGGAGTTGGACGCATTCGTCCGACTCCATCGAGAACATGTCCGACGTCTCTTCGGCCGCTTGGATGCAAAGAGATCATAAACAATCTTTGAGCGCTGTATTTGTTGTGTTCATAGACTCATTGATGATAAACTGTTTCCAAATGCTGGTGGCTGGGGCTAATATGGGTACGCCTTGGCGATCCCTTCATACAAGTCCCTAGATAGTTTGGCCCTGGCGTGTTGAAAGCATGAATGAAGAGGCAATACCTACGGCATTCCACGACGATGTTCATTTTGCACTCAGAGATGGTGGCCTCGGCTGAAATGCTTGAAGCGCCTAGTTTGAGCATTTGATGCACTTTGCAGCTGCTACCCCCCCGGTGGACTTGCCGTAGAAGAAGTGCGGCAACACCGAAAGGTGTGTGTGGTGAAAGGCACCAAGCATATCCAAGCATCCTAATCAGTCCCTGTGGGCCGTTTCTGGTTTCTTTTTTTGCTACCTGTAATGCTTCTGTTGTGCAACCTTTTCAAACTCACCCATCCAACAAACTGTTCCCTGGGCCACCTTCGCTGCTTGTTGGTGCACGCGAGGCCAACTCGGACAGCAGCCTGGACCTGGCCAAGATGAGGGCCATGGGCTCCCACGTGCCGGGAGCTGAGGAAGACTCGAAACACGTGACGGGGGAACCAAATGTTTTTTCCCCCACATAGCGGGAGCTATTGGGGTTCTTACTTCAAGCATATGAAGAGGTGCTTGTGTGCGCTTTAAAGCCTGGGTGCTGGTGCCGCTGCAGGGTGCCGCTGCCAGATATGTGTGACCCTGTGCACTTTGGAGCTGCGCTGGTACCGCAGCCGGAGGCTGGTGCCGCTGCAGGGTGCTTGCTGCTGGAGGGTGCTGCGACGTGTCTTTGGCCTTGTGCGCTTTGAAGCCTGGGTGCTGGCACTGCTGGAGGGCGCTGCAAGAATGCGGCTGCAGCGCGCGGCTGCAGGGTGCTGCCCGCAGATATGTTTTTGCTGCCTGCGATCTGGGGCCTATGTTGGCGCATATGTTTCTCAATAAGCTATGGTTTCAGAGTAGGTGGCACTGGCGCCCCGAGATGCTTTAGACGGACGGGGGCCCAGGTGAACGAACGAATGGGTTCCGGATGCAATGTTGGCTACTTCACGATGTTCAGTTGCTAAGAGTAGGGTCCGGAGAAAACGATCCGCTTTGGGATGCTTTTGAGTGCTTACCCTGTACACATACAGTACTTGCATACTGTCATCTTGTGTGCTCTGGACTTGGATTGTGTGGTGTCCCCGTTTGGTGTGCAATGTTCATTTGTTTTCACCGTCTTCACCCTGCAGTTGAATCCTGGACCCACCTGTCAGGTATCGAATGAGGTACTTGCTGCTTCTGATAGTGCTTGGCGCACTCTCACATTTGCCGCAGCCTCGGGTGTATATAATTCTCGGAACCTATGGGTGCAGCCTCAGGTGTGTTGGGCTTTGAGGGGGAACAAACTGCTATCATGATCTTCTGTTGGGAGAAGGGGGGCAAAGTTGAGCAAAGGCTTGTTAGAAACTTGTTGGTGCCTTTTCAGGATTGGTCCTGACATCCCCTACATTGAGAACACGCCTCTCGTCGAAAAAGTCGCTTTGCAGAAGATGCTAGGCCTGGAAACTTCAAACATTTGTGAACTTGTCAGGGAACAATAGAAAGAGGGACATCTATAAGCTTCTCCGGAACACAGGCATCTATACCGGAGGCGTGTGCACAGTTGGACGTTTTCGTGAAGTTGGATAGGAACATGCGTGCCGCAAGAAGGAGCAACCCCTAAGCCGCCTAAACACTCGGGTGGATGATCAGAAAGTTTTCCCTGAAGACTTTAGACATTCAAGCTAAAAGAACATGAAGAGATCAAGAAAGATTCCCCAAATGAAGCTGAAATGGGACACGAACAGAACAGAGCAATCTGAAGAGACCAGCAACAGTACTGTAATTAGTTGGGCCCTAGAATGCTTTTTGCTTCAATAACAGGCATCCTTTTTGCTGCTTGGGCGTGGCTGCCCAGGTTTTTTGCCCAGGGCTTCGGTGGCGGCGACTGCGAGGCTGGGAGCTGAGTCGTGATCAGTGAGGGTCTTTCCAAGTGGCCTAACATCCCTTCTCAGAGACTATGGACCAAGTGGTGAAGACCTCTCTCAAGATGTTCTGTGAAAACATCATATGGAAGGTGTCTGATGTCAGAAGTATTCCTTCCTTAGTTCCTTTAGTTAGTTCCTATGGACCTGAGTTTGGCCTCCCCAACCCTTCTGGCGAATTCCGTGCGCTCTTGCCGGTGCCGAAGGCAGAGCCCAGCTCCAAACCCTGCCGGCGAGGGGCGGCGCGAGGGGCGGAGATCTTTGGCTGGTCCCACGCAGCAGCAGCCCGGTGGACATGTCACACGGGTGCAGTGCCACACGCCACACACTGGGGTTCACAAGAGAGAGAGAGAGAGAGAGGCTTTTTGATGTTCAGAATTTCGTGGGCAAGTGCTTTGATCACCATTAGTGACAGTTTTGGGTTGCTTTTGCCTTGTCACGTGTGGTATTCCAGCCCGGAGCACGCATCAATGGCTGCATCATTTCAAGTGCAAAGAAGTTTGTCGCCCCTACCTCTCGACACTAGACTGTCTATGCCGACGTTTGGATTCGTTGGCGCATGTAAAATGCCTTGCTTGAGGCAAATCTATTTGCGATGATGTTGGCAGTCACCTGGCTTACAGAGTGTGTTTAAATGCATCTCCCAAGAGGACATGTATTGTCCTTCGAGCTATATTTCACTTTTGCTGCAATCAGTTCTAACAGTCAGCAAGAAGCTGTTGCTTGTTCACTCTAAAAGGGTGGTTTTATCCAGGTTTGACATACGTATTCCCCGACGAGCTCTCAGATGTGTCAATCTTTCGATGCAGGGACCCAGGGATTTTACTAAACGACTCGCGGACTGTCCATGCCACAGCCCGGTTCAGGGCAGTAGGTCAAGCCATGAGCGAGACCTGAAGCTCGACACCTGCTGGGTCAGCCGAGGTCTTTCTGGGCTCTCTGAGCGACGCCGTGGGACGTCGCCCGCTCATCCGTGCTTGGGGCGTGGCGCAAGCGCTGCCGCTGCTCGCACTCTTCTTTCACCTGACCACAGGAATGCATCCGAAGTGACAAGTAGTCATGGACGTGTGGGAAAGATTTGGAAGCGTTTCCCGACATGAAGAGGCAAAGGCAAAGTTTAGGACGATTTGAGATGTGGAAGTTTCCACATATACTTCCTATTTCGCATGTTGGAAGCCTGGTTTTCTTCCAAACTGGTCGAACCGGCATCCGCGATCTCGGCCAGGATTTACCTTGTGGGCTTTTGTGGTTCTCAGACCAATGGCAAGGACCCCAGGGGCCCTTGCCTCGCATTTTCTGCTGTTCATGAGCCCAGCTCTGGGTCGGACGCTTTTTCAGCGCTTGGCCAGCGCGAATTCTTGCTTTTGGGGCCTGTGATGGCTGTGGCTGTGCCAGAATGTGCTATTGTAACGACAGTAGGCCGCCCAGTAGCGTCGATCGGATCCGATCGTAGCGGCGCTTCGCTTCCTCCACCTAGGTGGAGGCCTTCGACGTCAACGGTGTCGCCTGGCGAAAGGAAGAACATGTCTACCGAACAGGTGTCCACGAACAACGGTGCCGCCACTCATTTTTAGACTCTGGATGATATAAGATAAAGACACAAAACGATATACTACCCCCTCCAAATTGGATTTTAGCACCATGCTTAAAACACATGGA